ATATGGAACAATCAGGTCTTTAAGATACGATGGAGCCTGATCATTAAGACTTTTATATGTTAGAAGCAGGATTTTAAATTGCACTTTATTCTGTGGTAACCTTACAATATTTGACACCAATCCATCCAGACTGAAAAAATTTGACTTGCTAGTGGTTTTGATGAAAACTCAACATGTTACCAAAGTCATGAGGACCAACCGGCGCTGTTGTTCATCCAGTCATACGGCTGGTTGGGCTAGAAAATGCAGAAGGCTTTTCTATGACTATACGATAGAATCACAACTAGGGAAATGTATTTACTTTATTTTTATTTTTTTATCCAGGCGGTAAGAAGATTCTCTAAAGATCAATGTCTATCGACTTAAAACATAGAGAAAAAGCTTCGCCGTGTGACTGGAGTTTAATGGGAGACGCTGTCCCTGTCTTATGTGCTGTTTCAGGATATTGTCCAACTTCTTTGATCACAGTCTCAACATGCAAAGCTCCTGATTCATCCTGCCCTCGCTGCTGCTCGTAAAGCTTCTGATCTATGAATTTTAGAATCACGCAGCTCTCTTAAGCCTGTAAAGACCTTGTTCCCGCTTTCTGCGCTCCGTGTTTGCGCTGGTTATCTCCTGACCGCCCTAAAAATTTACTACGGCGTTAAAGGTTTCACACTTGCTGTTCACATTTACTCAAGCTGGTATGCCGAACGAGCGAGTAAATAAAAAAGTATTGTTTCCTCTTGACGAGCTGCTGCTCAGCGGAGCCTCTTCCAGGGGTCGGGCGGTTAAGGGGCCTGTCCGACAAGCCTAATTTATGGCCGTCTCTTTGAAAACATTGGGGAGTTGTGAGGCTGTGGCACCAGTTCTTGGTGCTACAGCTGTTTTTACTGTCACGGCCGTAAAGCTCCCCTGGGAAGGCAGAGACGAGAGACGGAGAGATGAGAACAATGGCTTGTCGTACAGCTTGCAGACAAGAAGAGTATCGCGGTTGGAAAAAAAAAAAAAAAAAAGAGGTGCGTGTGTGTGTGTACATGAGAAGCGAGTGTGGAAACTCGCCATAAGGTTGGAATAAAGATAGCAGAGGGATCACAGCTGTGTATTTAATCTTGATGCCAAAAGCCAATGCTAAAGGTAATAATAAACATACTGCGCAACTAATTTTTCCTTTATCTGTTCTTTGTAGCTCCTTCCTGTCTCAGGCTACCTTGGCCTTGAATCTATTCGCCTCCTGTCACATTAGTATGTGTGAGCCATTATCTGTGATACTGGCTGCTCCTGAGATCTTTCCGGTGTAATCAAAAGGAGAAATGGGTTGGGTTTCCTGAAAACTCTTTTTTTTTTTTTTTGCACAAAATCCCTATAATGTGAAGGCAAAAGTGATTTGTCATTCAGTGTGATGCTTTGAATTTGGATTTTTGGTTCTTTTTTTAGGCTATTTGTGAATATTTACCACGTTACCCGACAAATGGAGACGTGTCGCTGCAGGATACTGAGAAATGTGCGCTTCAAACGGTGAAGGAATCCTGCATGTCCCGGTTGCATGGCCAGGTGCAAAAGGACTGTGGTAATCAATTTGCTACTCATGCTCCTGAGAAATGATCTGAAGAAGTTTTACTCCCACTTACTCTGGGAAAGGAGTTCAGACAATGCGAGGTGTCACTTTAGCTTTCTGTCAGCTTGGTTGCTGTGTTTTCTAATCATGCACCGAGTGTGTACGACGAAACCAGCAGCTCTGAGAGGCTGCGCTTTGGAACAGAGCCGCTTTGATGTTAACATATGGCGTTTAGCAGATACACATATCGGCCACAACATTAAAACCACCGACAGGTGAAGCGAACAACATCGTCAGCAGTGGCTCCTGTGAAGGGCTGGGTTAGTAGACGGCAGCTGAACAGTCAGGTTTTGAAGTCAATGTGTTGGCAGCAGTAAAAGTGCTCAGGGCAAGAATCTGAGCGACAAGGGACAAATCATGATGGCTGGACAGCTGGGTCAGAGCATCTCCAACACAGTGGGTTGTTCCTAGTTTGCAGTGGTTAGTGCCTACAACTGCAGGCGACAGGGTCATGAGAATGTGGTGAGATCGAACAGAAGAACTCAATGCTGCTATAATAGAGCTCAGTGCGACACAGTTTGCTCTGTGTGGTGCTGCATGGTTGCAAATCGATTAAAGTGCCCATGCTGACCTCTGTCCACTGCCAGAAGCACCAATAATGGGCATCTGAGTGTCTGAACTGGACCATGGAGCAATGAAAGAGGATGGCCTTTTCATTTGCATCACGAGGACAGCCAGATACGTGTGCACCGTCTACCTGGAATAAAGAGATGGCAGCAGGATGCATGATGGGAAGAAGACAAAAACCAAGGAAACCTACCTAAACATTGTTATAGATCACGTATGTCCCTTCATGGCAACAGCAGCACACTGCCACACTGCAAAAAAAAGGTCCAAACTTTACCTCCAGATTTCCCAGATCTCAATCTGATTGAGCATCTGTGGGATGTGCAGAAAAAAAAACACCTCAACTTCCAGGACTTAAAGCTCCTGCTGCTAACATCTTGGTGCCTGATACCACAGGACATCTTCAGAGGCTTTGTGGAGTTACGAGGCAGGTGGTTTTAATGTTTTAGCTCATCCGTGTATAATCTTCACCATCTTACCTTGGCATGTTTAGTGCCAAAGAGAAAGTACAGCTGAGGCTGAGGGAGAGTCATTAGTTTTGCAGGTAGCGCTGAACAAGCTAATATTTTGACCTGACGCTGGCAGTTGATGGAAAGTTAGGAGATCCCCCATGAGATGTCCCAGATTTAATGGTGATACATCCAAAAGTTTCTGAGACATTTTATTCCAAAGCATACCGGTGCTTGAGAGAAAAAACCCCCAACGATCAGATGACAATAAAAGTCAATAGGATTCATCGGCTGGCAACCGCTAAATTTTGTACTCACAAAACACTATGGCAGTGGATTCAACAGTGTTTACTCCGGGATTAAAGAGTTGGACGAACCGATACGCTGACGTCCCCAGAGCCGTGCTGCTCCGCCGCCGCTAAAAATAATGACAAGAAAGCTGTTCTGGTTTTCGAAAAAATATCTTTTTGTTTTTTTGTTTTTTTTTATTTCACATGAAAATTTTTCACATTTATCATATTTATCAAACAGGTCTTTTATATAATCTCTCTCTATATATATTTATACATTTTATACACTTCTCTTACTTACACATGTACAAAATAAGGTAACAAGGATTCAGATTAAAAAAAAAAAAAAAAAAAAAGGAAAAACAAAAAGACTGACTTCAATGGTAGTCATACGCTGTTGTGCTTCGTTGATCGAGCCGGCCTGTCGGGTGACGGTGTTCTTGGCAACTTGTTTTGATGCTGTGTCTTATCTGTGTTATCTAAAACTCAACAGCTGATTTGTGTTTTTTTTTTAAATGCTCGTTTTCCAACTAAGCTCGACGAAAAGCACCACAACGCGCAGGGTCGAGTCCTGCGCTGAGAAAGATTTGAAACCAGCTCTTTGTGTCAGACAGTTTGACCGATACAGGGGCGAGATCCAACAAACGGAGAAGTCCAGCCTCTCCGCGACACACACACACACACACACATGCACCCACACACACACACACACACAACGTCTCAGTGTTTGCTTTTGGCAGAAAAAAAACATTTCTCTCAACACTCTTTCAATCAAACGCTCCACAGCTCATGCACACGCTCCTATTGTCGATTCAAAACACGCATATTCCCTTTCACACAAGTACTACCTCCACCGGGAGAGCGAGAGCGAGGGGGGAAAAAAAAGCCCTCCCGTTTGCCAACAGTAAACATTTCATTTCGAGAGCACATGGTATGTAGGCTACAGTAAAACATCTTAGCTGCAAATGTCATAAATTATCTTCACAGAATGTACACGTAACAGAGTTCAATGTGGTGTGTTACAGAGCGTGTCGATGCGTTTCCGTACTGAGCGGTGTTAGCGCCACAGCGTCAAAAGCACGTGGTCGGCAAAAGGAATGGTAGTCGTGAGAACAGCTCCCGTGTCTGTCGATGCTACATTTAGAGAAAGTAATCACGTGGGACATCAATGCCACTCAATACCATTACGATAACAATACAACAGATAGTACACGACACTCAAGGGTGGAATAGTGTACAAGTTGGAGAGATGACTCGTCTTTGGCTCAAAAGGTTCGAGATTACTTTTCCTTGAAATGCTGATTCGTTCCGTCTAAGCATGTTATTCAAAGTTGGTGTCTTTGCTCTTGATTGTTCTTCAGCCGCTTCAGGTTCCTCTTCAACGTCTTCATATTTTCTCGTAGGGATATCCTCCGCAGAGGTCTGTCTTTTTGGAGAGCCCCAAAAAAATACAAAATCAAGGAGAGCTTTGTCTTTCCACAAAAAGAAAAAAAAAATACTGTCATCATTTCTCTTTTTTTGAAAAATAAGACAAAGCACAAACACTTGTCTCAAATGCTCAGTGTTACCCAACACATGTTGTGCAAGCGAGTCCATCTGTACTTTACAAGCTTCAAAAGTCTCTCCCCGTGTCCAGCACTGGGCATGGATTTTTCTTTTTTTTAAGTCAGTGGTTTCAAACCCCACGGACTGTCTTCATTGTAGTCCCTGAAAAAAACAACCGAGTCTGCCAACAGAACTCCTTTCATGTGCTCTCAGTGCAACAAAAGCAATAATGAAAACGGGACTAGCAACGAGAGGACTGAGAGGGACGTAGCTGCCACTGCAGAGTTCGTCCGTACGCTCTTCTGGACGTCTGGCAGGTTCACCACTGGATCATCTGCTTGAAGATGGGAAACAGAGAAGAGCCATTAGCACCACGAATCTGCAATTTGGAATGTGCACTGGATTGTCGAAAGGTCGGGGATAATTAGAAAGGACGCAGGGTTGGTCAACATACCTGCAGGCAGTCTGTTGGACGGGTTGTGAACTCCACCCCCAGCTCCAACTCCAGCCCCACCTGTGCCTCCTTTGGCCACTCTGGCCTCTTGGGAGCCTGAAAGAAAAAGAAAAAAAAAAATAGCCATCAATCACTCTGCTTTGGGCTTTTGCAATAGCCTAACGCGACTATTACAGGTGATTGCTCTCTTTTCATCCAGGGGGGTGGTTAGACTCACCGTCGGCCGCTACGACGTCCACCCTGAGCCTGAGGCACTCTTGGCCGTGGTGGTGCAAAGGTTTGGCTGCAGGGAAGAGGGGGGAAAAGAAAAAACAACACAGGCGTTAACATCCCAACTAATGCACTTATCCTCTGCTGGCCCCTTAATCCACCTTCATGCATGCGCGCATACAAACACACACACACACACACGAATACTTGGCAACAGAAAGACACAGCGACAAAGCATTAGGATGCCATCTGTGACCAAGTGTGTCTTGTCCTGCCGTTAATCTAATTACAACCATGGTCGGGGTGACAACATTGCTTGTGCTTTGTGGTCACATTCTAGGAGGGCTGGTGTTGCATAAACGGAGCCAACATTCCAGTTTGTGTACATGTCAGGTTTCAAAGAGCTCCGGCGTACCGCGGCTCACACACAGTCAAACAAAAGATATCTGTCTCTCGTCAGCCAGACTGAAATATCGCAACAATTACTGAATCATGAAATTATGTACAGACATTCTTCTTTCCCAGATGATTCATTAAACGATCCCCTGAGGTTAGAATTTATGGCTCACATTGACTGAAATGTCTCGATTTTTATTGGATGGATCGTCCTGAAATTTGGCACATATCAGCCTTAAGGTGAATTCTAATTGTTGTGGTGATGTTTCATCTTATCGTCATCAAAAAATTTTTAACCTGTTTATGACCCAAAACCCAGAAACCGATGACATTCCCATAACTCTAACACTATCTTTCCAACGTATTAACATTTACTTTCCAGTACGTTTAACATGGCTACAGACTCTTAAGTACAAACGTAAAAACAAGACTCACAGATATAATAGTAGCTTTCTCCTTGGCGAAACTCCTTGCCCAGAGTGAACGGAGTGAAGCGCTGGAACTTTTCGGAGAACTTCTCGGGAGCGTGAGGGGCAAACGGATGACCGCACTCCCAGCGCATCTGGTCGTACGACTGCGGCTTGCAGGATTCGTAGTCCTCGCGCTCCACCATGTAGAGCACGTACCGCTCGGCGTCCAGCAGCGGCACCTCACCCTGAGGGTAATGGGGGCAGACGATGTCCAGATAGTCATTGAGCCTCACCTCCACGGCGTAGTCGTCCCAGAGAAACCTGCGGAACGAGGCAGGGGAGGAAGGTTAGGCAAGTGGCAGGAGACTGATAACCGTGGTTATAGCATCGGAGCAGTAATAAATAAAAGCCTCAAAACCTGTGATTATATATTGATCGGCTGCACGACGGCGTACAACAGGGAAATCAGAGGAAAGACTGAGAGGCCTGGGAATGAGAGATAGAGTGCAGGAGAACGGGAGAATGTTTATGTGAGAGGATGTATGTGCGTGCCGAAGTGGAATGAAGAGGGAAAGCGCAATAAGGGGGGAAAGTGATGTGCGGAGAACATGCGCATAAATATGGATGAACGTGAGGCCGGCGCAGCGGCTGCTGTTTGCCGCTGCGTAGAAAGTTAGCACTGAGTGCACATTGATCCCACGTCCCCCAGGAGCTGAATGATGTTTACAGAGAAACATTAGCAGTCAGTTAGCCCGTCAAGACAGGAGATGAGTATCGACATCTGCAGGGCTGCACACACCCACACATACACACACCCACACAACTGACGGAGCAGCAGAATGCATAATGACAAATTCACCTTAACACGAGCACCTGAGTTTACGAGGGGGATAGAGACGAGGATAAAAATAAAGGTCACATTTGTTTCAAGCCATTCATTAGGGTTCGGATATACAGACACACATTCGACATGAGTCTGGTGACAGTCTGTAACTGTCTTCCACCACACTCCCTCTCATTACAAATACAGAGAGAGACAGTCAGACTGTCTGCCTCCCCTCCATTCCTCCCTGCATCCCTCCCTTCACTCCTCCACCCTCTTTACGATGGTCTTTAAGTAAACGAAACTTCCTCCCTCTCCTCTTGGACCTGGCTCAAGGAGAACCAGAAAGTAGCATTTTTGCCAGCTTCACATATCCACACACACACATACACACACACCATTTGTTTACTGCAGAAAGTTTAGAGTAGTTAAATAACACTTTGGCATACTCTGAGGCGCATTTAATTGGCCTTATCTCAGCTGTCCATGATTCTTTCTCCCTCCAGGGTTCACTTTCAGAGATATTATGAGTTCATCTCCAGGGAATTGTCACTAAAGGTATTTCAGCTTTGTCCCCCTTCCCCTTGACTGAGTGAGCGCTGCAGGGCCGGCTCACAGCTAATGCTCTCTTCTCAGCCAAAGCCATCTATCACCAGCCCGGAGCGGTAGCTGACCGCTAGTAGCACACATACACTCACACACACTTCCCAGTAATTCCCATCTATCAACAACCTAAAGCTGTAGCTACCTACTATTTACACCCACCGAACCCACACACACACACACATCTCCTCCCCTGGTACTGAGCTCCCAAGCGATGCCTATCAGTTTACTACTGTTTCTGGATCACCAGGGGGGTTCCCTGAGAATGGATGAAATCTGACAGACTTAAATATTTTCACAACACACATGGCGAATGTGTGTGGAATATAGGGTTCTGTTGCTTTTGCAATGAATATACGTGCGGCTCGTCAGGCTTTCAACGGCGGAGATTTGAATCGGATCTACAGATCTGGAGGAGTTATGAGTTCTCAAAAGCCTGCGGGGTGTTAAACTGACACCTTGAGCCCCTCGCCACCACCCGAGGCATTTCTTTTTTTTCCCCCTGAAGTGGATTTTTCTTTGTGAATTCAGGCCTTTCTCATAAATCCCCCATTAAAGTGTAACAAGTAGCATTTGGGGGAAGTTTGTGTTTGTGTGACAAGGTCCATATGTGTGACTGATGATCAAAGTGCACGGGGCCCGCTGGCTCGTTAGCTGGTGTTGTTGTTGTTGCCAGGGGTCTCCGTGGTACCCCCACCGGTACAAGGACAGACGCTGTGGCTCCAAACGCTGGGCCCTGACTCCTGCTCTCTCCCTTCCCCCATCCCTTCACTCCTCTCCGCCTGACTGCATTCCCTCAATGCTGATGACCAGATAAACCTGCAACGCCATCACAGGCCCATTAGAAAACAAGCATCCTCTTAGTGCTCTGATGAAACTTCCATCTAACTGTGCTGATAATAGTGTGCTACAGCCAACTTTTTTTTTTTTTTTTTTTTGGGTGGGGGGGAGCAATAATTATCATTTTGCCATGGTCCAGACAGCTTAGAGCTTATCTGCAGTTTGCCTGCCACGCTCTGTTTACCAGATTGGCGCTAAAGTGTTTTTTCCCCCTGCCACTTTCAATTCCAGTCGAATCGATAACACTATTGAACAAACACTGTTGTCTGCTTTTGCCTGACAGAGTTATCCCCCAGCAAACACTGAAAACACACACAAACAAACTCCCTGCACCCGATCCCCTCTCCGCTCTACCCCCCTGAGCCCTGATTACAAACTGCTTGTGGTATGGTCCCAATGTGTTCATCAAAAGGGGGTCGAAGGGGGGTGCAATTAAAACACAAAAAAGGGTATTAAAGTTGCCCCGGAGGGGGGTAATTATGCCCTCCTGCTCCCCACTTCCCAGCCCCTTTAGGGCTGAGAGTCTGGGAGGGGATACGGGGGACGTGAATAGGCGTGGGCCAAAAAAAAAAGGGGGTCAAAGGGCTGGAGTTGGGAATGGCTTTTGAAGTTTCTCTCAGCGAGTGTTTCTGTGCTACAGTTGCTTTATCAATGCCACCGTTTCATACAGCGCCTCTATTCACGACGCGCTGATGGAGTAGCTCACTTAGCAGAGGGAACAGTCGCTGAATACACACCAAGGGGAGGCTGGCGAGCTGCCTTTTATTAATGGCAAATAGTTTTAATTATCCTGCTGCCTTTTGTTCCCGTCTAACGCCTCGGCATTGAAAACGCTCCACATCAGCGGCTTAATTAACCGATCGGAGTAACGCACTTCAAAGGGAGCTTTGGCCTCTGTGTGAAAAAGTTTAGCTAACAAAGTCAAATCATGACACCTTCACTTTAGCAGACAAACAGATCCTCTTCCACTCCGTCGTCCCCAGTGTGTGTCCCTTGTTATTTCCCTCTTCCAGACGGTTTCTCTCTTTGTGCCAATAGTCTGTCTTGATTTATTTCCATTGTTTATCCCAGGACGCTTCCCTTTATTGACAGTGACGCTTGAAGCTTAAGTAAACGTCCCAGCGTGCAGGAGCAGTTGTATTCTCTACTTAACAGTGATTTGTGAAGCTATGGCAGATATGCAGCGAGGACTGTATGCATGTGTGTCTGACTCAGGCTGATGCATTCAGCTGAGTGTTTACGTAGGTGTGTGCTGCCTCTCCAGAGATCCGAGGAATCCGGGAGTGCGTTTCAGTCATGATAAGGTGGATAATGAATGCCAAGTAATGAACAGCCCTGATAGCGGTGAGGGAATGTCAAGTGGTCAAATGTGCGAGCACACAATCTGGTGAAAAGTGGACCACAGGCTGTTCCCGGACGCTCTTCCTCCTCTCCTCAAGAAGGAATTCCTGATTTATTAGAGCCTCTTCAGGAGCAGGAGTCTAATCTCTCTTCTTTAATCTCTTTGGCCTGAGTTTTGCTTTCTTCTCCACCTCAATCCGCTCTTTTCATCCATCCATCACCCTCTCATCTCGGCACACTATCACCCTGTGGAATGCTGGACCTCTGGATCAAAGGTCGGCCGATTGCCAAGTCAGCACCAGAGTGTTTTATACATGGACAGTCAGCAAGAAGGAGCCTTGTGTGGTTGAAACTCTGATGCTACAACTGGAACTGCTCTGTTTAAAGATGGATTCAAATCAACTGTAATGCCCATTAAGGCCATTGTGGGACAAACTACACAGAAACAGGAGCTCTGTCCTGTACTGCCTCCGAGGGGCCCAACAGTCGCCCCCCAAACCACATAAACAAGGTTATTTTTCCTCCCGAGCTGTACACACGCCACTAATGTGACCCAAAAGTTGACTGGCCTACGTCACGGATGAGTGAACCGGAATGTGGGGACCACCTAATCGGCTCGTCCAAGCCCTGGATTATTGGGTGGAGCAGAGGCTGAGCTGGGGTCCATTCATCAGCATCAGACCCTGCTTAATACAGGGGCTTAGAGTGGACAGCGAGGCCCAGAGCAGGGGCTGAGGGCCGGGGACAGAGCAAGGGGTGAGACAAGCAGGGTGGAGCTTTTTTTTTTTTTTTCCTCCCACCTCTATTGTTCTCACTTTGAGAAGGGGTATTACACTGGAGTTTTGGAGTTCAAAAGAGACACACTGGGTTTGTATGCGTGTGGGTGTGTGCCTCTGTAAGTGTGTCCATGGTTGCAAAACGGGAAGCGAGAGGTGTTAACGGAACAGCGAAAAAGAAGACTGGACACGAGGGAGCAGTTTCTTTTCAAGACAAATCTGTGAAAACCACGAGGAGTAGGTGGCACATCAGAGGAAGGTGAGGCCTCTCTGAGCTTGGTTAAGCAGGGCTGTTTAATGTTATTGCTCCAGAATTCCTCTCATTTCATCTGTCCATCAACTCATCCGTCAACGTCGGCCGTCCCCTCCCACGCTCTGTCCGTCTTTCATCACTCAATAAGCAAACCAGATCCTCGTGTCAACTCCGGCCCTCCCCCCCTCCCCCCCGAGCCAGACTTGCTGAACCAATCACAACCTGTCCTGGTGGTATTCCAAATATGCGACTCTCTGACCCACCGTTTGCAGAGCCAAGCACAATGTGATGCGGGCACGCCGGGGTCGTCATAGAAACAAATATGGTCCAACTCTTTGGGCGCCTCCCTCTTAACATAATATTCCAGCCTTCATTCTTTGCACTATGTGACTTTTTGTCATCCATCTCAATCGGCTCCCCCCCCCCTCGTCTGTCATTCAACCTTTGTCTGTGCGGCATCATTGGTCATTCTGCCAGCATTCCTGGCTGAACCGGCGCAGCTCCTATTGCCGCCCAGCAAAGTGACAAAGCTTCAAGTCCAGCAGAGAAATAATTGGCTGCTTCCACTGCACTAAGGAGGCTTAGATGAATACATATGCTCTTTCCAACTGTCTCACGCCGTCCCCTGAGCCATTTGTACCTTATAAGGGGGCCAGAGCAGAAAGGTCACCGCTGACATCACATT